CTGAAGACACCCTCATGGTGGTCAGTGGAGAGGGAAGCGGGGAGAGAGAGAAGAAAGTTGGGCTACTTATTTTTGACATTATTTACTTGTTGACTTTCCTCCCTGTGGTCCAAGGATGCTTACATTAAGGCACATCCACACAAGAACTTTTTCATGTAAATAGCATGAAAATATTCACTGGGGTTTGAGAAATAAATAGATGTACATAATAATACCACTGGGCTTAGTTTTAGATCATTCCTATCATTAGGTAAAGTTGCTTACCTTAGGTTTTAGGAAAGAAGTATTCAGCTAATTCTTTATATTTTTGGTAAATTATTTTCTCTTTAGCAGATTTTAGCAGAAGTATATATATATTGCTACGCTGTATGTGTGGACATTGGGGTTTTTGAAAAATTGTGTTCAGTAAATAGTGCTGACTTTTGCACATTTTTAAACTAAAAATAAGCTTCAATAATGAAGGGTTAAGCCATGGGTGTCCTTACTATGAAACCAAATATACTATGCATATCAAAATATCTACTGGTGGAAAATGAAAATATAGTTATGTGTAGAAGACTTGCTAATGAAGGTTCACCTGTTTCATCTTCTTTGCTGATGAAACCGATCAGTGTTGAAAAGGGAGAGTTCTCATCCAAAGAATTTCAGTCTGTTCTTTTCCCTTTGATCTCTTTCTCCCTCTTTCTCCAATAAATGTATAAGCTTTACTCTGGATTTTGCCCTGGTGTTTGTTTTAAAGAAGAAATACATCAAACAACCCAAAATATGGGTTATTGCTTTGGTAATGTGGGTATTAATGAATATTGATATTAGAGAAAACATGCTTTATCCTGGAATATCTCTGAGTTATTGAGAACTTTTAGGGGTTGATATTTAAAATAATTACTTTAGCTTTTTTTTTTTTCTGTGTAGTTGCCCTCATTTAAACAACATATGTTGTGCCCTGGAACAGAGAATGCTGCTAATGTTCAGAGCTAATACTTGTAAATTTGCTTTTGGTAACATTTATTTATGAGGTAGTAGGCTGAGTAAACGGTTATACTTAAATAATACACATAACTCTAGTGAGTCCTTTACTGAACTTTTGAAATACAATTTTTAATTTATTTATATTAATTTGGAAATCAAGAAATTATGCTCTCAGATGCTAAGCACTATTTATAGGTAATTGTAATTTTCTTAGAGATAAAAAAACATAAAACAAAAAATGGTATAGTATAATTTTTGCAGTCTTATTTGATCCCAGCTCTTATTTATTATTTGTCAGGATTGTTACCTTAATAGGATCCCTGGCGAGAAGTTTAAAAAATGAAATGTTTTTATTACTTGCAGAGCATAAACAATGTGCTTCTGAAATGTGTTCTTAGTTATCATTTTCAAAGGTGCAAAAATCATAAACTACATAGTTAATCCTGAGATGCACAAAACAACTTTTCAATAAATATAATTGTACTTGTCAGAGTTAATTAGATGTAGTTCAGTCACTGTTGCTTAATTTTATCTCTTCAATTTAAATAAAATTTCATCTATAAAGAATTTGAAACATGTCCTAGATAGCGAGGAAAAAGCTTCCCTGAGTAACACAATTAGGTCATTAAGAAAGTATTGCATGGGCAAGAAATAATCTAGCAAAAATAAAATTGCACAGGTCTCTAAACAAGTGGTTGTGTCAAAACTGCTGAGGTCTTAAACTAAATCTTGTAGTACATTCATCTACAATTTTAATCAAGTAAGAGAGTTGGTGCCTAGACGAATTCTAAAAATGTTTTTTGTTTAATCAATAAGACACAGCTCAGGAAAGTCAGGCTTACTTCAGTGTAGGAGGCTTTGTGATGAATTTAAGTAGGTGGTATTTTTTGTTAGTCATTCCATAGTGAAAAATAGTGCTCTCTAACAAATGTCATATTTTTAGCAATCTGCCTTTTATATTCATTTCATGGCTTAGAACAGGGAAAGATATTTGCGAATACAGAATTACTTAACCTCTTTCACGTCTAGAGGATGGAGAGATTATAACATCTCTTCATCCAGGCCGAGTTCCAATTCTCTTTTGGGAATAGGAACCAGTCATGAAGATTTAGCAACACTTAACCTGATTTATTTATATCAAAATATGGGTTTGTTTTGCTAAAGTTGAAATACATTGCAAGTAACAGTAGTGAAATGTTGGTTTTCTTTTTTGTTTGTTTGTTTTTAATATGGTTAGGAGCAATGAGTGAACATTTTTTTATATGAGTGGTAAAAGAATTAAGAAAAATACTTTTGAGGGAAGTTGTGCAAATTACTATTTTAGAAATCTTTAGTGTCCTGCTGTCATCACTAAGTATATATTCCAGTCTCCATGCTGGCTATTATAGCTTTGCTGATCTCCGGACTTTACCAGTTGAAAATACATCAAATTTTGAAGGTCCATTTAAAAAGGATATTTTAAGATTTATGGACTCAAAATCACAGCTATACAAGTGGCTTAATGCTGTAAGACAATAATAAATCAGCATGCGTCTTTAGGGACATTCCTTTTATAGGATATTTAGTGTTTCCCCTACCGTATTGGAATTTCAGCTAAAATACGATTTGGCAGAGCTTATAACTCTAAGTTACTAAGGAAAATGACCATGTACTTTTGTCAAATTTCTGAAGTTTTTGAGTATATACATTTAAATAGGTCAGTTGTATCAATGAATAAAAGTTTGTGTCAAAATAAAAGCTTGTACATTTACTTGTTGAGAATTGTG